CCGGCTCAAGAATGCCTCAATTCTCTCGAAAATAATGCCACAATAAGAAGGCTTTCGTGGGACCCCGACATGCGGACGCACTGATATATGTACAATTTGACTTGAGAACACTTGATAAATCAAAAGATCTACCGACATCCGGACAATTTAACAACATAAACGGACAACTTACAAACATTTCTAGATAAATTGAAATTTTTATTTTCCAAAATGTTGATACATCATGAACAAGCTGAACTTTGTATGCGCTAAAAACAAACTTGATATCAAAATTCACTATAATTCAGGATCCATAAAAGTCTCATTCTGTGCCTTTTTTTTTGAAAGTCCTCTCATCATTTGAGCATTGTATAGGAAGATTTATGCCCTTGCTCTTTACTTTTCCAGCTTTTTTTTGTGCCAATAAAAGGTCAGATTATGTGTGGGTTTCTTCCGTTTTCTCATTTTCTGTGCCTTGAAGTTGGGAAAATGATTTCTAAATGTTTGGTGGACTTTCCCGGGCAATTTTTTGTCAACTGGAGAACAAATCAAGCATATTCCCAAAAACGTCCGCAGCTTGGGGCCCTATATTCTTTTATTTTGGATCATGTTGTGATTCAGAATTTGTATGAAGCTGGACATTAACATCAGTTTTCTCTTTCCGCTCATCCAGTTCTACTCTTGGCATAAAAAAAAAACTATCTGCGTTTATGCAAGCATAATGGATGATTTGAATATTCATTCAAAAAAGAAGTGATATTGAAAACCTCAAAGATTTTTTGTTTGTTTCGCCGCGAAATTTTCTACGTATTAAACGCGTGGTAACATCTCAAATTTCCATGGTCGTGTTCGCTATATTTTTCTCCATGTTTGTTACTTGAAGTTCAGCTCTATGGAGAATCTGACGCATCATTTCGGAGAAATGTCGGTTTTTCTCGTGTTCTCGAGAGTCGAGAATCGGATAACTGACAGCGTGTCAAGCGGGAGAAACACGAGTAGTCGTCAGTAACCGAGAAAACCCGCTTAATCTTTCAAGTACTGGGTGGACGACGATAAGTTCGTTTGGCATATGAAGGATCCGCTCCTCAATTCCATATTTTTACGAATGTAACCATTTTTTTAATATGACCTTATATATGTACTGTACTCTATATAGTACCACGCGCACCTTTTCTTCGCTAAATTGTGAATGCGGTGAACTGTCAATGCACATCATTCACAGATATCAATTTTTCCAAAAACTTTCACAAGCTCAAGTTTTCATTATACAGGTTGATTCTCTCTCTCCACGACGAAACACAAGGGAACAGAAAAAATGTGCCATAGAGAGAATTTCGTTGCATAGAACTTCAAAAACCTGAGGAGAGAACCGTACATGTGCATGCAAAATAATTGTTGCACAGTGAAAATCGATGTAGAGAGCGAGTACACCTGTAATTGATTTTTATGAGAAATTTTGGACCATCATCAGCCATAAAACATATTAAGCGGAATTAAAAAAAAATGAAAATAAGTCAACATTTTAAAAATTCAGGATTAAAATTCATGTGTAAATTAAATTTTGGGTGTTTTTCACTTTTTGAAATGCTTTACTTTACTAGTTACTATGTACATTATAGAAAAGGGGTTCGCGCTTCACTGGGGAATAAAATTGTATAACGAATTTCGGCTGGAAAATGCTGTTGCGTGACTTAAAGGATTTTTGGTGTACGAGGAAATTAGTTAATATATGAAAACGGGGTAGAAAAATGTCCCAATGAATATATTTTATGAATGTGAATGCATGTCTGCTAATTTTTGTTCATTTCTCGAGTTGAAATGATCAAGAGAAGTCTCTTTCTCGTTGAATATGGAATCCGTTATTGCCAAAAATACATTTTTTGAAGCTCTTATTATTTATACTGGCATTGTTTGCTCAACACAAAAGTGAACTTCGATGAGACGGAATGATCATGAAGTTTATTGCTGATGGTAAATGAAGCACTCTCGCGGTTAACTCCAGGAGATGAAAGCTGGAAAGTCTGCTTTCAAAGCAGATTATAAATAGAAAAGGATGGAGTGTGTTGGTTGACGCTCAAGTGAAGAACTGCATTCGCCACTTGGACCATTGAAGTTGAGTCGAGAGTGAAATTCAGCCGGATGCACCTCAGAGAAAGAAGTTCCCTTCAGTGTAGTCTGTAGTATTGCTTGCCATCTCTCAATGTGTCGTCCTGAAGAAGTTTTTCTCGTCGCTATTTTTACCCTTAGTTCTCTCTAAGTTTACAAGTATCATTGAATCGAAATTGTTCCTACTTGACCGTGATTCTCGAGCACTTTACGACCTCATCTGTTTGCGAACAAAGTTACAAAACTCTAATAAGTTTTCAAGACGACAATGATGGTAACAGAGACACGATTCTTTTGGGATATTTTGGAGTTCGGTTCACTTGGGGTAATTTTGATCACTTCCCGGGAGGTTTTGAGCTAGAATCACATAAAAAATGTATTAACAAATCTGTTCGTGATTAAATACTCTTGACGTTAATTTCTAGTTCGCACTTTTTTAATCCGCCTATCGTGAATGAAGAAAACTGCTCTGTTTCATTTCGTCTATTTTTTTGGGATACACTAATAATCGGCAGTTGGGCTATGAGGAAACTACCGGCTATTGTCACAAGATTTTCCTGGTATAAAATTAGGACATCAGGTGCCAATGAAAAATCACATGTTATAAATAATGTTTTTAAGAACCCTGTATCATTTTCTGAATCCTTTTCTGGGTCGGCGAGCAATTTAAAAGTTCGAATCATGGAATAACAGGTGGTTTCAAATATTGACGGGTTATATATATAGTTGCGTTCTTGTTATTGAACCACTATTATTGGAGGTCAGATAATGTGTGCATATTTTTGAGTCAAAATGAAATAGGGAATTGGATTTTCTTTCAGTGATCCCCAAGCTTTTTGGGCCCCTGGACCGGGAAATTTTCAGAAAATTTTTTGCGGACTTGCAAATTTTTTTCTGTGGACTGGCAAAGTTTTATGAAAATTTTACAGAAACATTATGTGTGAACGACTTCATGGAAGGTATTTTAAAAGTGTCTGCTTTTTTGGAAACATTAAAATTAGAACCAATGAAGCAGTTATAGTGGAATGTCTTCAAAAATTATAAAAGTGGGCTTGCCAAAAGGTTCCTCAAAATAAAAAAAAATTTATTTCAGTGGATGAAAGCTTGTCTAAAGCAATCTTTAAAGAAAAGCCTACTCTTCCTCTTCTGCAGATTCAACTGCCTTTGCCTTTCCAAAATTTCAGATAAATCTGACAACGGGTAAAGATCCAACTTCATTGCTACTTTCGATGAATTTTTTAAGCTGAAAACAATTTTCCGAAGACCAGCCAAAAACTTTTTTTGACCAGCATCGGTCCATGAACCACAGGTTGGAAAATAACCCCGGTTTATTATATTTCATCCAGAAAAATATTGAGTTGACCATGATCGGGAAACATCAAAGGGATCGGACACGTGAGAATCCCGACGTGATCGGAAGCGTCAGATGAGAGTGAACAAATTAGTCATTAATTGTATGAAGGCCCTTTTTTTGCAATATCAAGTCGTGAGACGCAAATGGTCATAAGGTCATAAGTCATGATTACTCTCCGATGTAAAGGGTCTTTTTCATCAACAAAAAACCCTTCCAACGCAATGAAAAGCGATTTGCAATTGCTGGCGAGTTTCCTATAGACTCCCGTGAGAATCCATATTAAACGTGCACAATGCAGCCGCACTTCAGCTTTCGGCTCACATTTCCCTTAAAGAAGGAACAGAATCGAGCCAGAAGGAGTCTCGACTTCTCTTGTGAAATCCAGATTGTGTTCGCAAAGGGCAGCTGGTCTTTTCCTCTTGTTGATGCGGAGAGAGGTTCTTCAGAAAAAAAAAGAAAACTTTTGCCCTCTTATTGATACTCTTTCCTGCTGGTGCCTTTTCCTCCCTCGTTCAATTCAATCTTCTTCATATTTTTCAACTATTTATTATTTTTTGGTGTGAGACGGTTCCACTGAAAAGTGAAAACGCTGTGAGAATTTTCGAGTGGAATACCTTTCGGTATCTGGCTTCGGTTGCCTCGGTCATTTCTTATTATATTGAGCTCCATGATGTAGTCCATATTGAGCTCTCGAATATGATCCCCAAAAAAGTCTGCTTCGTTTCTTCGGAAATCCTTTCCAAATTCTCATTGCAAAACGAATTCAATTGACAAAAAATCGTTATAAGAGTATTCAACACGATAATGAAAGTGTGCTCTGTCTTGTTTTGTAACATCACGGTAGGTTATATTTAATTGAGCCTGATCGAACCTTATATGCGCATATCACATTCAAAAAAGTGTTCATAAAACTACTTCGGAAGCTTCAAAATTTTTTCTTTCTTTGTGGACATGACAATGTGGAACCGAATGATAAGATCGCCATTTATGATACATTAGAATGGAACTTCATTTTAACGTGCATTAGTTTTCTTCCTGAAATGAATTGAGATGCAGTATGATCTTGTTACAGCATTGAATGAATGCTCACAACGAATTTGTTTTTCAGTCCCTGTATACTGTATATTACTTGCAATGTTTTTTTTCTGTTTTTTTGGTATAGCAAAGTTTTCCACGGTCCCCAACGCTTTGTTGTAAGGAGATTTTACTGTACATCATTGACTGAAACGCATAACATGGTTCATTTTACAACTCAAAACGCTGTTAACTGTAACAGGTTGTGTCAAATCTTATAGAATTCTGTAGGTATGTTATGCATACATCTGATCCTCTCTAGCTGAATCGAATTTCAAGGTATCAGCGAAAGAATTGACTTATTATAGGGAGGTTTAGACTCAATATTGGGAGCTTTCGCAGCAAATATTTTTGTTGTGGGAAACAGAAGAATTTCAGGAAATTGTAAACAGTGATATTCTGGGCCTTAAATTACTTCCTAAATGATTTGACCTACATCTTGGAAGCAGGGGTTCAATTTGTGCAGTCCGTCTTTTACTTCCTCTCAAAATATCTCTAGCAAGTTACTCTTTATTGCTTTTCTCTTTCCTGTATCAAGGAAATAATGGCCAAATAAGGGCCTCCAAAAATTGAGTTACTGAGGTTTTAGAGTAAAATTCTTTTGATACAGGGAGGTTTTTTAATGCATTCTTTTTGAGGGGATTTAGACGGGTACAGTACTTGAAACAAATTCGACTTTGAGAACTTCGACTTATTCGGGTTCAACTGTAGTTATTTTCTGAGCCGCTGTTTGATGTCCGTGGTATCTGTGATTTTTCTTTCTTTGCCAGAATGAACACGAGTACAATATTTATCGCATCGTATCGAGGAAAAGTTTGAGTTGACCCTGATTGAGGAGCAGCGAGGAGATCGTGCACGTGAGGATCTCCTCGAGGGAATCGTGCCGCGTCGATGCACACCTTTTGCTAGCTTCACGCTGCACTGCTTGTGTTCAGTTGACCTTTCGCCGAAAGGGCTGAGCTTTCGGAATTGGAAGAAATCGACCCCAAAGAGCCCTCTGTAAATCACTTTCCCTGTTCGCCAGAAGGACTTTGCCCCCTTGCATATAATATGAGAACAAGTTGACCTCAATGAGAAACTTAGAGTGTATCAAAATTCAACTCTCAACGCCCTCAAATAAATTATAATTCATTTTCATGTCGAAATAAAAAAATGTAATCGTTAAAGCACTGTATTTACATACAGCTCTGCAATTTCAAGTTATAGAATGAAATACAGTCAAACCTAGTTAAACCATCAACGTTTGTGCAGCAGAATTTTGGCAGTTTAACGGGGTTGGCGGTTTAATGAGGGAGGGGTTTCCACAGTATTTAACAAATGAGTAAGTGTATTTGATATTTTAAAAAAAGGTTTCAACCTCTATCCCTCCCCATCCTGCTTTTGGTGAAGACAACTCTTCATTCTTTTTTTGTATGGACATAAATCTATCATTCTTTGCATCTTTATTGACAAAACAAATAATTAAAAAAAATATTACCCAGAAATATAAAGCTTTGAAGAGAGGAGACAAAAATTGGTGGTTTATTGGGGTAAAGAACAGTGCCAAGATCCTGTTTGCTTGGCAAAAAACATTGGTGGTTGGCATATGGCGGATAAACGGGATTTTCCCATCCCTTCAAGCTTGGGAAGATTTGTTTGGGAGGAAAAAGTGGTGGGAAACAAGGGTGGCGGTTAACATCAGCAGTGGGACAAACAACCAGTAGGATCCTACAGGGGTCTGGGGGGAAATAATAAGGACATTGTGTAACGTGTGTCTGTGGCCTTTTGCACCTTGAATTAATTTGCCTACTTGAAAATGTATCAATTAGCATTAAGTTGTCAGGATGGCCAAGCGGTCTAAGGTGCTGTGTTCAGGTCACAGTGTAATTCTGCAGGTGTGGGTTCAAATCCCCCTTCTGCAATCATTTTTTTCATTTTTTTTTTGTTTTTTGTTTGTCCACATTGCGGACGTTCTACTACTTGATTGGGGGGCAGTTTAACGGGGTTCAACTGTATTATTTTCTTTAAGATAAAAAGCTGCCGTAAGCATTTTCTTACGTTGATGCTTTCTTCATACAGAAATGTTTGCAAAGGCTGCAAGTAAATTCTTTATAGACATGGGGATTTTATGAACATAATATTTCCAAATTCCATAAAAGAAAGTCTTGACTGCATTGGTAGCAACACGAAGTGGACTTTATTTTCAAGCTGGGTACAGTACTGAATAAGAAGTAATTTTTTATAAAAAAACTGACGGTTGTGGATCGAATGAGAATGTCCTTTGACTTAACATACAATGTAATTGAATTGCACTACTGTATATAATTATATACCTCATCTGCCACTCTTCACTCTTCAGAACATGGAACTGGATATTTTCCGACTTGGAATAAGAACATTCACGGAATATCTGTTGAATTGCGGAGTGTTGCCACGACGTACGCACGTATCTGTGTTTCTCGATCTCGGTGGAGCACTCGAAGTTTTTTTTTTCACATAATGATGCTCAAAAAAGTGTTTCTTCGGAGAATATTTGAAAACATGCCATTGAAGAGGCACTTTTGTCATTGCTTTCAAGGTTCTCCATTTTCAAAAACAGCAATGTGTCCTTGCTTTCCAGACGAGTGACGTGATGTACGATGTGATCGTTTTGGCAAAATCCAAACGCGAGGAGGAAACGTTTTTCAGCGATCGCGAAAAAAATTGGCAAGACAGGTCTCGGGCGGTCCGAATTTCTCGCCATCAATGGCTGGAATCGCGATGAAGATTTATCTCGATACCTGAAGGATTCAACGAGAAACCTGTCGTATTTCACCGTCTCGTTCCCACGAGCCATGGACCCGGGGAACATGCATGTGATTTACACCTTGCCGTTGGAAGACAACGAAACCTTCGCCAGGTTAGTTCTATGCTTCCAATTTTAAGAATTTTTTTTGGTTCGCTATTATTTTACATTGTTTGCCATCAACCTTGTCGGCCGAAGCACAAACAGCTTTTAATACTTGTTAGAACAGCAGAAAATTAAAGAACTTCTTGTAATTCACTGTCATTGTGGAATGTTTTGTTGATACTGTATCTTTGCAATAAGTCTACAAATTGGAGTTGAACAATTAGGTAATTTAGTTTTCTATATTTCCATGTACACTTCAAAGATTTTATACGAGCAAAAGCGTATGTTGTCAATGCAATGCGATATTTGAAACAAGTGAAAGACATACTGGAACACAAATTTTAAATTACCTAGAAAATCTGACAACATTTATAATGTTTCCAGTTTGCATGTCTTTAATATGCTGCAGTATTTTTATTTGATGAAATAAGTTCTCCCCATGCTGTTGCGCGACGACTCGCAAGAACTCGAATAATTTTTTTTTCACTTTTATAAAATTACTTTGCATTGTAAGCACCTTCCTAATTCGAAAGCTTTGCCTCTCAAACCTCCATAGCATGATTTTATGTTTCTGTAGACCTTTTGGCTATTTTTTTATTGACACAGGAAAGAGAAAAGCAAGAAAAATATAGCTTCACATGTTCTTCAATGAACTGAAAACAAATTGTACAACTTAAAATTTGCGTCAAGTTCAGCATCTTGTCAACTTATTCAAGAAGCAATGGAAGGCCAAGAATACCAGCTACTATAATTTCATCTGATTCTTCTTTCTCTGCAAAAAAAATGCTTGTTTCTCTCACTTTGATCCTCCCTATCTGGAATTCTTTGTTTTTTTATTCAAATTGGACTTGACCTTTCCACAGGGACGCTGGAAAATATTTATGGTTTTTGATGCCATATGTAGCAATGGAAGTAAAATTTTATAAATTTAGTCTATAATCAGGAGAGCCAAAGTCCAGAAAATCCAGATTTTTATTTATTTTTGCAAAAAAGTATGTGCTATAAAATGATTCACTGCTCGGTGGTATTTTTTCAAGCATTCCTAGACTGTAGGATTAGTATTTCAGGGGTTCAAATAACAATGGGTTCAACTTATCTGGATTTTTGTGGACTTGAGCTATCCAGTCAAGGCTGGATTTTTGTTACCTTCAGTCAAGACAAAGTGCAAAAGCCTGCAAAAATATCGCAACTCCGCTATAGGGATGGAAATCAATCTGCCGCCCTCCAACAGTTGAAGAGGTTCAATGGTTTAAAAACATGATGATCAACGACTGTCAAATAAAATTACAAATGGACTTCTCTAAAACAATACTGTAAATTGTCTACAGCGAATTTCACGGTACAACAAATTTTTTGGTGGCCCCAGAGGGTTCTCTCCCCGCCATGTAATAGGGGTTCGCTACAAAAAAATTTTCTCAACGAAACATTTGTTTTCTGGCCCCTTTGGATTTTTTTGTTCTTGAGAGAGTCCTCTTGTCCCAGCCGAAATTGCAGGAATAATCAGGGATTCCAAATTCGTTAAATCTATGATTTTTGTTTGATTGGGGATTCACAATATTGCAGATACGCTGGCAGCCTGGATGTCGACGACAGCCCGAGAATGGCGACACTCAACGACTCGTCGTCGTCGAGCGTTCCCGACGCCATCTCGCAGCACGGCCTGGAGGACCTGGGCCCCTTCGTGGCCCTCAAGGCCCTCGTCATGGGCCTCATCATCTTCACCTCCATCTTCGGCAACCTGCTCGTCATCGTCAGCGTGTGTCGGTTCCGGAAACTCCGCATCATCACCAACTACTTCGTAGTGTCCCTGGCCCTGGCCGACATGTTGGTGGCCGTCGTGGCCATGGGCTTCAACGCCAGTGTCGTGCTGACGAGGCGATGGATGTTCGGCTACTACATGTGCGACGTGTGGAACTCTTTCGACGTCTACTTTTGCACAGTGTCGATTTTGCACTTGGTGTGCATCTCGGCTGATCGGTATTTGGCCATCCTCAAGCCCCTCGACTACCCCCGCAGGATGTCGTCCAAGAGGGTCGCAGTCATGCTGGCCAACGTGTGGTGTCTGCCGATCCTCATCTCCTTCCTGCCGATCTTCCTGGGTTGGTACACGACCGAGAAGAACCTCGTGTTCCGCACAACGAACCCGGACAAGTGCATTTTCGTGGTCAACAAGGTGTATGCCCTGGTCTCGTCCTCGGCCTCGTTTTGGATCCCGGGGCTCATCATGATTTGTCTCTACGGGAGGATCTTTGTGGAGGCGGATCGTCAGGAGAGGCTGTTGTATCGCAACAGCATGTTCTTGTCAGCCATGGCGCACTTTGACACGTTCTCGAAAGGTTGGTGACGAAGAATGTGAAATCATTTCCGCCCTGTATAGCATTCTGAATGCACTTGCTGAATACTGTATCATGTGTATAGACAGTACAGTATATTGTCAACCCCCGTTATTAATAAGATGTCCCCATTTAAGTCGTCGTCCTTGGCAACTACCGCCAATGTATTTTGAAAAGAAAATATTCCCCTTATGATGATAACATTGGAAATTCGTTGAATGCCATCCGATAAAATTGTTAACAACTCAAATACGCTCCTGGTGCGAATTCATTTCGTCTTATATTCAATCCCCCTCCATTAAAGCGATTCAGGTTTCTGTGAGGACTCTTTAATGAAACAAACACAACACAGAGATGAAAAATTTTAATTCTTGGGCGCAATATAGCTAGATAAAATTTACTCATCCTCCCAAGGTTGATTCTAGATAAATAAGCTTTTTTTTTTACTGTCGCTATAGTTAATTTAGGCTTTCAATATGACAAATGCAATGCATCTGAACTGCTCATACAGAGTTCGGCCATTTATCCATACCGCCTAAAAGTCTCGTCTTGGATAATTTAACGATTGGCAAATTTTACGAATCGCTCTGCGATGACACTAATTCTCAAGTGTTCTACTCGCAGTTTATTGTTGTTGTTGCCTAAATTCAGGTCACATGCAAATTCGGTTGCCTTTTACAGGAACGTCATTATATTTTAACAACCATTGTGAGGCGATCACTCCTCGACCAAGTTGACTTATGTTAATGGTGTGAACTACTTGTAAAAGTGTCCTTCACGCCAAATTTAAATTATAGCACTCTATTTGGAACAAAAAAATGAGATACAGTATTTCTCATTTTCGAAAATGTTTAACCGTGAAGTAACACAAACTGATCACATTTGAATTGAAAGAACGCTTTGTCATTTGTTTTGATTTTTTTTACTGAGGGAGGGCTCAGAAATCGTCGTTTTGTTGTTCATAAATTGTGCTGTTTCCCAAGAAGGGGGCAATTTTCATGCTTTTGTTTGCCAAAATGTTTAGTTTGACTCAAGCTTCTACAAACAGCAGCAGTAAAACGATCTCTTCAGGAAGGTAATTTTTAGCAAGGACTTCCAGAAAGTTTGAATGCTGCCCCTCCCCCTTTTTTCCTGACACAAATTCTGAATTCCAACTTATTACTTTTATTAAACCATTAACAAATTTAAAGTTGACCCCTGGATCCAATGGATAATTTTACATTTGTATAATGTAATATTAAGTGACATTTCAGATCCTTCAGATAAGTACTTTCATGGACGAATCGAACTAAATTTTCAACATTCAGATTTACAGTCTGACAGAATCTAAGTATTTTCACTGTACGGTAAACCTTGCATTTTATAAAATTTCCAAAGAAAATGCCAAAGAGACATCCATGAAATGTGCTGCACCTTGCGATTTTTGGGGAATGTTGGTGATTGATTTTATTCTTTGGACTAATGGTTCTTCTCCATAAATTCTTGGTTTTGTGATAATTTATTTTCCTACGCCGAGGAGCCCAAAAATATAAAGCTCAAACCCTCTTGTTTCATTTGTTTGTCCAATGATATTTCAGTTTATTCTCAGGAAATGAAACCGTTATTGCTGGGAAATGATCACGATTGATTGATTGATTATAGTACAGTATAAAGCATCATCGATCTTCTCCACACCAATTCAAGCGAAGTTGTTCTGAGAGCTACGAGATGAAGTACTTCTGAGAAGACCTTCAGACGAATTGATGGGGTTTTTCCAAACCGGCAGCAGAAATATCGAATCATTTCCATCGATGATGGGCCTGTATATACAGTATAATAAAACAAGACATTCGAATAAAATGTTTTAAAAGTATCGGGAAGACCGGCCATCAGCAGGGACATACTATGACTTGAATCCAATTTTTTTTTTATAAAAATCCTGTAATAAGGTTGTGAATTAATTAAGCAACAGTTGGGACGACGAAGGTGCAGTGCTGGCAAGTTTCAGCAGGGGGGGGGGGGGGGCGAAGGAAGCCCCGGACTTGAATGAGGGCCCTTTATATATTTCCTCTCGACGCACTCGAAGGTATTCAATTTCCGACGTGACCCTCGAGTTCCGGATTCCCCCACTGCATCCATTGAAGACAAACTGACATAATCAGACCAGCGTCTAATCCGATTCCCGCCGCCCGGGATTCAAAGCAATTACCCCGCCCACGTCCTTCCGGACTACGACGGCCGTAGTTCCGGGTGCTGCTTGCTGCAGGGAGAGAAACAAAAATTTAATTTCCTCACGCCATTTGCCCAGAAGGGGAATCGGTTCGACGGGGGGAGAAACGGATCCCGGAACCGTTTTTCTCTCATTTTTTTTTTCTCCTCGTTTTCTTGGTTATTATTTGTTTGTTTGAAGAACGCGTTGCAGGTCTGACTGAACTGCCAACCCCGTATACTCACATAATGTCAATCGGCTGGGAAATGCGGATATGAATGTTGTATTTCCTCAAGCGATGGTTCTAACATAAGTTCTCGGAGTTACATTTGAAAGGACATACGCTTGAGATGGGGGAAAAACTGATACTGTTGAAAAAGAGTATTTGCTAGCGCACGAAAAAAAAAATCATCACATTATGGAATAACTTGCAGAAACATTTGCAAAAGCGACCCTAGCAGATTTCTGCACTCAAGACATGAGGCACCCATTTCGCAGATTTTTCTTCGATTAACGCAGATTCTCCACATTAAAAATAATCCACATGGCATTAATCCCAAAGGTTGGCTGCCAAAATCTGGACTACACCAGAAAACCTATCTTGAGTGGAGAGCAGGAAGCTATTCACACGTGACTTATCGGCCAAATTTTCTGCAATATATGTCAAACAGGGCTACTTTTTGTCATTGTGCCAAAGAATGTTCTTTTCTGAACAATGACTGTTTTCAGCTCAATCATAAGCCGTTTGTTAAAAATAAGGCTCCTGAAAACACTGTATGGAAACTAAGTGTGAAAACACTTGTATGGAGTTATGTCACTTTAGGAACAATGGCTCCGTGCTTTTTCGGTCTATACACATGCTCTATTTCTTAGTTTTCTAAAAATCACTTACTTTATTCCCGATTTTAAAGAACGTTTTTCTGATCAATTTTTCCGTATTTTAAAAGAGTTGGAGGGAGTTAAGGTCGGAATATCAGTGAATATTTTAAAACATTAAAACTAAATTTCTTTGAAAGGAAAAGCGGGGTTTTCCGGTGCTTATTATAGGTGTCATATGTCTTCCAAACATAATTATCGAAGATTTCTACATTTTTCATGCATGCTCAAACTTTGAGTATAGGTCATTATACATTTGCACGGAGTCTAAACACAGTGGCATAAATAAATTTCCAGCCTGATCAATACTTCTGAAGTTAGCCTGAATAATACCCTTCGTACGTTCTCAGGTTTCAACAAAGCATTTGTTCTTTCGTTACGTAACCTCGGAAAAGCGGTTATAGCTATTTTGGCTCATTACCTGGATTCCAAGAAATGTAAATACTGTACTGTACATATTACATCGTGTGAAAATCAGCATCAAAAGTTCGTGGCTTCATGTTATTGTTCTCGCGAAGGTTGAAGCAATGAGATTGTCCTTCTCGTATCAAGTTTTTGTTGCGTGTTTGACATGATCAATTAAAAGTAGTTGAAGTATCAAAACTTATATTGAATATTTGCTCATCCTCCTATTTCTGAGGAAGCTTCTTCGTAAATTAATGATTTTGTTTCGTAAATTCACTCGAGATTACGTGGGAGATTCCGAAATCTTGGTACTGTGCTATGTTTTGTCTTTTGGAAGATGATCTACAAAACCAATGAATTTAATCCACTTCTAGGAATTTCTGCATTTTTCAACAAAAATGCTAAATTTTCAAAAACGTTTCCATACAAAATGAATCTTCAACATTGAAGAAATGTTTACTCGCTGTATATCACAGAATCTTTTTATGAAAGACGAATACAGTAAGTCTCTCTTGATTATCCCCCTCAATTTTAATTCGAATCATTGAAAGACGGAATATATTCGAATCGACATGAGTCACATTATGAAGTTAAGGATGGAATTTTTTCACAATAAACGTCTTTGCTTCGCCCGATTCATCAGGAAAACAGAGATGAATCGGGCGAATATTTGGCAATACTGTACTGGCACGCATTATTTTGTTCGTCCTCGATTAATGCGCATTTGCTCCTAATCTGAAATGCGAACCATTTTTCGGTTCAAAAGGAGCATCAGAGGACTTTTTCTAGATGTTGAAAGAACCTTCGAAAACTGAGAATGCCCATCAAATGACTTCCTTATTCGTCTGTATATAAGTGTATTGACTTCTGCCAGCGCGCGACTCTTATTTGGATTTTTCCCCTCACGCTGCTCAAGTAATTCCAGCGTGTACTTGTACAGTATATACAGTCCTGGGAGTGCCAGAAAATGCTGTGAATGCCCTCGTCCTATATACATTCAAGAATCCCTGGGTCTGAGCGAAAACAGGAAACTTGGATGTGACAGTCGCGGAGTTCGTCATTGCTCCCATGCAGTTTACGCGCCGTAATTACCTCCGCTGTCCGGGACAATGATCCCGAGATCAAAGCCCTGCCACGTGCTTTGCTCATTCACTGGCTGAATGGGGGTCCTCCTCCCCCTCAACCCCTCCTTTTCGGGGGGGTCGATGAGGAGACTCGTCCCGTGCAGTTCCTGAAGGTCGACGATGTGAGTCCCGACTATAATCGAATGACCCAAGTGGGCGTTGTCGAAACAAGAGTCAGTCATCTGCGCGCCTGAGTGACTGATTAACGCAATCAACATCACACGACTCGACGAGCGGGAGCCCCCCGGGGATTCCAAGACTGTTGACTCACTCGTTTGCTGGGCGGGGGGCATCACGAGACAAAAATGCAGTGGGAAAGAAAATGCCCGGGGAATTTAATGAGGGACAAGATGGTGAAACACATTTCCAGAGATGAGGAACATTTTTTGATGACAGAAATCTTACCAAGA